GTGAATGTTCAGATTTAGAGAAGTATCAGACAGACAGTACTAGAACAAAAAACGTGTGGTTCATAATGGAATTATTTTCTTCATGATTACATTATCAAATGTTTACTTAATATTTACTCTATTAAGAAATGATTTTATCTTAGAGATTTTTTCAGATTTACCTTACTGTTTCAGATGTATATTTGTGATATGCTGTTGTTGTCATCTTTTTGTTCCATAAATTCAGAACCAACCCATAGCTGACTCTTCAGAAACTTTCAGAGGCAGTGAATTTCACAGGAGGCTATTACCCATCTCCCATGGACAGCTGGTGGATTTGAATCACATGCCTCTGGGGTTGTAGTGCAGTTTCTTACCACCAGAAAATGTATTAAAACAATGGTAATTTTTATCAAAGAGAAAAAATTATTATCAGCTACATTTTCAGGGTTTCTCCTCATTCATTCAGCAATCCATTCATTCATTTTTGTTGAGTGTCTACAGTGTGCTGAGCCCTGAGTTAGCATGAGACTTTCTCCAGCAAAATATTCTTACAAGGAATCCTGCACTCACTCCCCCTGTGGAAGATGACAAAGAAGGATGTGTTCTAAAGGTTCTCCCATTTCACAACAATAAACACCCTCCCATCTCTGAAAAGTGGGTGATGAAGACACTTCTTTATGAAAACAAATGGTTGAGATGACAATGACTTTTCATTTTTCATGGTAAAATTATAATAATCATTTAAGTTGTTAAAGCTACACACCTATCAGGACAAGTCTGGAAGCAGTGCAAAAGAATCTATAAAAATTATTCTCATTAGAAGATATAAATGAGTCCCTGAAATGTAACATGATTACAGGTTTTACAGAAAATAACTTATTTTAAATCTTCTCGTTCTATTTAGGGCTTGAAACCAGATACGGAACATGGCTGTGTCGGACTAGGCTGAGAATTCTGGATGCAAGATTCACACAACTTTCCAAATAAATACACATACTACACAAATTACTGGTAGCTTTTCAAATTCTTTTTATTTATCCAGGCAGGAAATGTTAAAAAGAAAAATAATCTCTTTTTCTGTAATATTTACCTTAGAAGGTAGAACCTCCAAAAGCGTATTGCTACCAATAAATATCTTATGATTTTTCAAATGCTTTTTAGCTAACTACAAAATTAAGCAGCATCTTTATTCTAGTAGTTTCCTATAAACCGTACATGTCATTACTTTTAAAAGAGTCAAGATATTGAGAATAATGAATCACAATCCTGAACCTAAAAAACAAATCATGGCTTGGAAGAGGTTATTTGTTTAGGTATCTAAAATTACTTAGCTCGATTTGAGCATGACTCGGATACCGCTAATTCTAGTCTAAAATGGAACTCTTTCCTGTAGAAAACCAAGGGAGCCAGAGAAGAAAGGCATCTGATTCCTTTAGTTAATTAAAAGGTAGACAGTAGTCCTTTCATATTTTGTCAGTGAAGGACACAGGAGGTTCTTGGGTGTCTAGGGCAGTCTCTGTAAGTACAGAATAATCTGCACAATGGCTATACAAAAATCATCATGAAATCCTCCTAGTAAAGCTAAATTCCTAGGCTTGTCTTTCTGGAGTTCTTTAAGAACCTGGCAGACCTCTCAGTGTATCACAAGAATGTACAAAAATTAACTCCAATTGAAAGGAAATATTCATAATACCTGTGGACAGCTTTGAGATCTTTCTAAAACAGTTATAAACCCTTCATGGGCAACTTTCAGTGCCTTTTCCACCTCATCCCTGTCAGTTTATTGTGGTCTGTGGGGTCTGTGGGGAATGATTTCAGATACTTCTTGTATAGTGGCTTCTCACTGTGTTTTCCTTAGTTCTACTTTCATTTTGTTAACTGTTAAAACTATGTGCAATGATTTTTTTTTCCATTTACTAAAATAAAGATTTCAAGTGCTAAATGTAAATATTCTGATTTCATTAAATAAAAGCTGCAAATGAAGGAAGAGAATAAGCTGTCTTTGGTGAAATGTTTGTTGCTATGCAGACTTG